AAAAAAAAACGATCTAAAAACTAAACCAGATGTTTAAAACCGTAGAAAATGAATAAGAGAGATCACATTGAAAGTCGGAAAAAAAAAGCATATTAGTAGTTTTAGAGACCAGACTCAAAAATACAAAAAAGTTGGGCTGAGAAATCGTGAAGGCAGATTATATTATAGTTAGCATAAAGTTGATGTTTTCAACAAAAAGTTGACCACTGCACCTCTCTTTAGTGCATTTATTTGACTAGGAAAGTTAAGCGAGACTAAGAATGACAAATGCAAGAGCTTTAGATTTTTGAATTTTTAGTCTACCTGGGCACTTTGCTTTTTCAAAAACAAAATTACCGCCTGATAAACAGGTGAGTTTTTCGTGACTTTTTAACTGGTGGCTAATATAATTACTGATAAACTTTAGTTTTTTTTTTTTGTTAAAAAATAGTCTACTGAGACTCATTTTTCTGTCAATAAAGAAACAACTGCATTAAAATGTTCTAATAAATCAAGATTTGGATAATTGCTCAAATGAGCAAATAACCAAATGCTCAGTGGTCTTAGACCGCTGATAAATCATTATGTAGACCTTCTTAGACCGCTGATAAATCAATCAGTAAATGTATTACTGTGAACAAATACAGGTCATAAATATACCTGCACACAGATATACACTGAGAAGTAAAATGTTGCATTGGTTTTTACAGCTGAAAGTGTAAGAAATTGCCTAACTTAAAAAATTGTTAACTTATTTAAATTCAACAATTAAATCAGTAAAAACGATAATAATCTGTTAAGCAGATAAACAAGCTTTTTTTTTTGAAGACTATCTACATGCCTGAACTTGTACCAGAAGTAAAAACAAACGGCAGTAAACTTGCACATATCATGTATAGAAAACGTGAGTTTGCTGTACCACCTGGAATGTCCCGACCTCAGCTGATAGGTACATTATGGACAAGTAACGGCGGAAATCCGAACTCTGTACTAACAGTACGTTTATAGTTTCCTAATTTTTTTTTTCACCAAAAAAATAACTGGTGCTTTAATTCTGCAAAATAGCTTAGCAAATGATAAAATATACAGTTAAAGCTATGCTTATAGAGCTATAAATAAAAGTATATAGAAGTAGAAGTGCACTGTCAAAAACAATAAATTATATTATCTGCTATATTTTTATCTAATATTATAATTAAAAAACTAGTCTGCTTTTTTTACTTGCACTATCAAATCTTAATAAAAGAAAATATAGAATTTTTTATTTCTTGTTTAGAAACATTTTCAAATAAAAAAACTCTTAATTGGTCGTTCGTAATCAGTTAAAAAAAAATATTTTAGTTAGTCAAATTGGTGGCATCACTGGAAAAAATGTCCTGCGAAAGTAAGTTATTCTAATGAATTTCTTTTTGAATCTATCTAAAATTACTTGATTCTTGACTATTTTAGCTACAGAAATTTTTGTTTGAATACTTTAAATATCAAATTTGCTTCAAATAAAAAAAAAAAAACAACTTAACTTCAGGTTTTAAACAAATTTAGTTAATGGAAAATTTCTAATTAAGTTTTTAGACAAAAATATATTTAATTTTTAAATATCTTAGAGTTTAAAAAATGGGTATTGCTGTGTATCTGTTTAAAACTGATTCAGATAGAACAGATAGCAACAGCTGAACAATGTCTTTTACAATTCACTTTATCAAATATGATGATAGCTGATTTTGATCTTAAAGAGAATGCTGTAGTTAGACGGTAGCTGAAGACAATAAGTTTTAAACTTGCGAAAACTTGCTTTTAATATACAGTGGGCGTCTTCAGAAATACTTAACGACAATATTCATTTGCAACAGCTTAAAGATGAAAAATTTGATATCGGAATCACTGAATTAGTGAGCTTTTGCGGTATACCGCTGTTTAATAAAATCGGTATAAAAGCACATATAACCGCATTTGCCGTTAATCTGTTCGAAGGTATAACAGAACCTTATGGAGTGATCAACAATCCAAGTTTTGTTCCAGGTACATTATGAACAACATTTAAAACAATTATTTGACTCGAGATTCTGTTCATTGATCAATCTAAAGAATTGTAAAAATAAGGAAAATCTGAGTCAGTTTTCAATTTTAGTTAATCCTTTTTACAGACAGAATGTTTTAGGCGTCAGAAATATACAGTGATAAAGCAGTATTACTTTGGTTTCATTTAGATGATTAATTACTTGGACTAATTTTAAACTTTCCAAAAAATTGCGGTATAAGAAGCAAGAACAGTTTTTTAGCACTCTTTAGCTCGACTATGGATGAAATGTCATTTCTGGAGCGTACCCAAAATTTCCTTATATATCTTATTTCAAGAACGATTACTACATTTGTGGCAGTGTTATACTCAATAGTACCAGTAGAAAAACAAATGCCTTCCAGTTTTAATTTTATTGTAAGTTTTTGCTCCTTCCAAAAGTTGTAAACTTTTTTTAAAGATATACATTGCGAAATATTTTTTTAGCTGATAGTTCAGATTTTTGGTCAAAATTTTATCGACTTGTACATTTTCAAACTGATTTAAAAGAACAAAAAAGTTTACCAAAAAAAATGCGTTGACCATTACCTTATAATACGAAAAAGTTTTAAAACTTCTGCCGGTTACTTTAAAACGGTAAATCAAGTCTGAAAGATGTATTTTTTATGCTGTGTTTAAATTGCAAATTCTTGAAAGTATACCTTCAAATGTAAAATGTTAAAGTGTAAATTAATTTCTCAACAAATTTCAAAAGTTACAAAACAAACAATAAAGAAAGTAGTAAAAATTTTTTACAGTTTTAGCAATTTTTCAGTGTTTTAAAATTTGTACTTAGAAGTTCTTTCTATAATTCAGTTTACAGTAAAACTGAGGAAGAAACTCTTTTCTTAGGACAAGAAGAACTTCAGAAGTAAAATGGCACATAGCAACTATAAGGAATCTGCTATTTTACTTCAGTGTTCGCTCACCAATTCCGTGACCTATTAAATTCTTGATTTGCACTTTTTAAAATTTTTCAAAAGATATTTGATTAAATGTTTACTGTTTCTTG